GATGAGAGTAGATGTGAAAGCGGGTGTGTGTCGTTATCGACAAGAAGGACGTTCTGTGGGTGAAATTCAGAGGCTTTTGAAGATTCACCATGGGACTAGTGTTTCCAGAGAGGCTATCTACAAGTTTTTAAGACACGGGACCATCGTGAGGAGGAGACATTCAAAGTTTGTAACGAAGAGAAAACTGTTGTTTGTGCACAAACAATTCATTCATATGTGGATGTCCGAAAATAAAGAACTAACGGCTGGAGCAATTAGAAACCGGTTAAGAGAACTTTTTCATGTGTGTGTGTCATTGTCTACGGTGAACAAAGCAAGACCAGAAATGGGGTGGAGCAGCAACACCGGGAAATACTGCCAGCAGATCAGCCATGCCAACAAGCGGGTAAGTACGAACGTTAACTATGTTTGTTTCGATTTTTTTTTTGTTTTGATTTTGTTCGTTTGTAATAAAAAGGGCCAAATTCAAATAAAAAACTGGATTTTAAATTTAGAAAAACATTTTCCTCTGTGAACATGGTGAAATTTGAGAGAACATAATCATGATCATTAATAATATTTTCAAAATAAATTGATTTTTTAAAGCACCAAATTCTTAATACTTATGCTGCCCCCGTATTTACCACAAAACACTCGGCAGTTAGTTTACGGTCTTTATTTCAGCATAAGTTCGCCGTAAGAACTACAATAAACAAAACACTAATAAGTTCTTACATTCTCACATACACTAACACACACATACTCAGTAATGAATTTAAGTCACGAGATACAGAATTATAAACTATAGAAAATACCAAAACAGAGGTTGAGGAAATTCGAACTGTCCATGAATACAAGCTTTAAAAGAGTCAACTTGCTAAAATATCACCTATCGATATGCCTATCTTTAACAAACAATATGATAATACACTTACAACGAGGTGCTTGACCAACTTTCTCAGCGATCATGTTCACATTCACATGGCAGAACAAAAACAAGCGTGCATTCTTTGCGCCTTTTTCACACAACGAACGATAACTCTCACACAGGATGCAGAAGTACAAAATAAGATAACTCGTTCCACTACAATATTGCCTACAAAGTCACTATTTCCTGTTTTAAAAACAATAAAAAATAGAAACTATCAGAATGCATAAAGCAGATGATCACTGGGCCTTCATATAAACTTGTTTCCCTTATGTTTCTCACACCCTGCCCCTTGGCCTGTGAGTAACGGACAGCATTGAGCAGTTGAACAGGCTGTAGAAAATAGAAACTATCAGATTGAATGAATAAAGCAGGTGATCACTGAGCATTCATTTTCACTTTTTTCTCACTTCCTGCCTCTTGGCATGTGAGTAACGGACAACATTGGGCAGTTGAATAGGCTGTATAATTTCCATCCTAAACATACACTAAGTCTTGTATAAGTATAACAGTATCAAGAAGTTTGTACACATACAAAAGCACATTGTAGTACAGACAATAAAAACCAAATGTAACATTTATTTAATAGGAAATAAATGGTAAATAAATGTTTCTTACTGTTACATAATTATTTTATTATATATAATAAAATGATATACTACTTATTTAATAAAATTGATGCACTAAGAATTTCACACTTTTTTTAGAGTGCCTGCAACCTATTTAATGTTTTATTTTATTTTCAGGCTCGAATGCAATGGTCCTGTCAGATGTTCAGGAGACGAGAGAACTTTCATGATGTCATCTTTGCCGATGAAAGTTCTGTGGAAATGAATGCCCATGGGAAGCTTTTCTTCCACCATTGTACCACAGGGATGCAGATGTCAACACGCAAACGATCAAGGCCAAAGCATGCTTATAAGGTAACTAAAGGTGTTTCAAATACACTATTAACAATTTCTATAGAAAGATTGTAGCAAAACATGGATCTGTGCCAATATTCAACACTCAACATGTTGCTTTTTGTTCATGTTGTTGATTACGTAACTTGAAAGGAGCATCTACTATCTCGTACTCAATGTAGAGTAGAATTATTTTTTCTAGGAATGTGAATAGCATATCAACTTTCATGTACCCTTTGTATTTTGTTGCTTGCTATGATAATGTACAGTAAATACAGATGACAGACTTGAGATGTCTGTTGTTCAGTGGTTGTTGTGTTTTTAGTTCAAAGCTTAGCAACATAAATATATACTTGAATGAAATATAATATATTTTTATACCACGATATGTTTTGATTATGTTTTTAATTACGCCTATCTGCTTTTAGGATTGTAAAAAGAGAAAAAAAAGTTTTTATTAATTAATGGAGCAAATAGAACCACATCTGATCTAAACAACCCTTGCTTTCATTCAAATTAGTCAACATGGTGCAAGCTACTTTTTGAATAGTGATGAATTGTTTACAAATGCATTGAATTTTTTTCAGGTCCATGTTTGGGCAGGAATTTCATACAGAGGAAGGACCCCGATATGCATATTCACCGGCATTATGAACTCTTCCCTGTACCAAAGAATTCTGGGAGCCAATCTCTTGCCATTTGTGAGGGAGAAGTTTCCTGAAGGATTTCGATTTTATCAGGTAAATAAATTTAAATTTTTACTTTCTGATACAAATTACATATAAAGATTAGGCTTTTAAGATTTACTGTAAACCAACTATTATTTGTGTCATCTTTTATTTGCAATTCTTCAGTTTAAATCAATCCAAGATAACTAATTTTCAAGTACAAGGAAACATTTTCTACAAAACAAAGCAAAATAAATGGTTCATGGGAATTAATATTTGCGACTCAAAGTAGGTTGCAATAGTAATTAATATTTCACGCGTGTGAATAACTTTGATTTTACAGTAATCTCCTGTTTGGGTTCATGTAAAAAGACACAGAAGTATGCTTTTCACACTGGGCTTAAAACTTATTTACGTGAAACCTACATCAGATTAATCTGCTATTATTTGCAGTTGATACATCTTGAGTAGAAAATGTTTGTTACATAACTTTAATTTAAGCAATTCCTGTAACTTAACTAACATTTGAACCATTAAAGAAAGAGTTTTTACTATTTCTACTTTGTGCTTACCCAAGTATTCTTTCTCTTATAGCAAAATCTGGAAATTGAATGTCTTATCTTTCCTTTAGAGCAGGAATTATGCATAGGCTCAAATTATATCTCATGACCTCATTATATTTATTTGTTTTTTATTTTTACTTCAGGACAATGACTCCAAACACACGAGTAGGTCAACGAAAGAATGGATGAGTCAGAATGGTATCCTAACCAGCGTCATGAAGACCCCCGCTTCCTCTCCAGACCTGAACCCCATTGAGAATGTCTGGGCATCGATGAAACACCATCTCCAGACACAGATCAAGCCCAAGACGAGAGATGAGCTTGTGAATGGTATCAGATCGTTTTGGGAGAACCTTACTACAGAGCAGTGTGGAAAGTACATCGACCACATACATCGAGTTATTCCACAAGTTATTCTAAATGGTGGAGAGGCAACAAACTTTTAAGTGGCTAACTGAACTTTCGATCTGTAAATACCATTGTTTACCACTAGTAAACCATTACTGAAAAAGTGAAGTTGGAACCAACAATTAAGAGAATGTGTATTAAGATATATATATGTTTGTGTGTGATGTAAATGTCTTGTTATAAATATATACATATGTTAATAAGATTAGTATTATTTTTGTCTATAGTCAATTTTTGTTTCATCCGCTTTTTTTCTTTCAATATACTTGGGTATTAGATTTGAGCAAATATTAATGATGTTAACAAAGAGGAAATTTGTACACACAGTATTTCTCAAAAATGTAAATATTTTTTACTATCTAATGCACTTTTAAATGTACATGGAATACTGGTATCTCTGCAGACAAACCTAAATACTGTATTGGACATTTAACACAATTTTTGTCAATGAATGTAACATAGGTTCACTGTATTTGAAATATAAAAGCTGTACATAGAAGGGATTTTTTAAAATACTTTTTTTTATTCTTTTGTTTGTTGTTTGGCATACTCTTTGAGTATTATATAATTAATGCATATCAATTAATATTGATTTTATTGTTTTAACATGGATATCTTTTCAGAAATATTTTTATGTTTATTGTATTGGCAGTTCCAGGTCATATCATTGACAAGTATGGAAGGTTCTTAGTGTGCATTGTGAATAAAATCATCTTAATTCAAAAATCTCAACACGTGTTAATTGTATATGTTTTGGATACCATGATAAGAGTGACATTTCGTCTGTGTCCTTAAATTTGTTTTGTGAAAATACTTGAACTGAAGTGAGCTCTGCTCTAAGACTATAAGTTGAGAATAGAACTAAATCAAAATTTAAATTTTCAAATTTTAATATTTTATTCAAATTTATACACATGACAGAAGAAAACTTTCTTAAATCATCAAAATTATTTTAAAAGTTATATTTGTGTGAAAATTTGTTTTAAATCTATTCTCAGTTTATGATCTTAGGCTTAAGGTAACTGGTGGATAACTCTTTCCCAGATAACTCCTTCCTTCTGATCACAAAATTGTCTATTGAAAATACCATAGGAAAAAAGCATCTGTAGATACAGAGCCCCCTCCCAAAGAAATATAATTAGGTTTCTTATGATTCAGCAGACGGACTGAAATACAAATGTATATTGATTTTGAAAAAAAACCCAAAACATTTACTTCCTGGCATAATTTGCTAAATACTGTATACAGGGGAATTTTCAGGCCCATTTTATTTTAAAATTTTGACCCCCTTGATCCATAGGTGGGGGAATTAAGAAATACACAGCATGATTTCATCAACAGAATTGCAACTGGATGAATTTAAAATGGGGCATAATTGTTTCCAAGTGTGAAAGGGCGAAAATAACCCTGTATGCAGTAGTAACTGTGAAAGAGAAAAGAAAAAAAAATACTACAATAAAATTTATTATTTAATAAAAGAACATCAATATTTTAAAGTCTATGTTCATCTCTTATTACATTTAAGAACATCAATATTTTAAAGTCTATGTTCATCTCTTATCACATTTAATATAAAAAAAACCCATGTGTTACAAATAATACTGAAATACACATGTATTGTAGTAAAATCAAAATCATATATGCCTCCAGCCAAATTCTGATCTTAGGGCAACTTTTCATTTAAGAGTCGAACACCAAACACTAGTATTGTAGTCCAAAGATGCTGAAGATTTCTTTACTTCTTCCTCTTCTGCAGCAACCCATTGTTTACCGAGTTTATTGCCTTCATCAGTCCATCTGTCATAGTTCTCTACATAGAGTTGAACGAGGCTGTGTCTCATCCTAGGGGACATCTTTTCTTTTCCTTTTCGCCCAGAAAAGTTCATGTTTCGACTCAATTCCTCCTCGTTGAAGAGGATCTTTGTCATTGTCCAAAGGAAGTTACCGGCTGAACAAGCTGAGTTTCTAGCTGTCTGCTGAAGTTCTTTGTTCACCACAAATTTACAATTTCCAGGCACAATGTCCTTTGGCGAACTAACATTATGGATGGTTGCATTTGATGGGCAGTTAGGCAGTATGGTGTTGTTTACAGATGAAAATGCAGAAACAACATCTGTCCTTGAAATTCCAACAGAAAGAGGCACCTCTTCCACACGATTTTCTTCATTTTCCTTGTCCTCCTCACTTTCTGTGTTCTCTTCATCCCTCTGTACATCACCATCCTCTTCCACCGGTCTGTCTGAGAACAAGTCATCTGGGGTAGGGGGTCCTTCACATGGCTGACAGTTCTCTTTCTCAAAAAGTTCAATGGCACTAAGAGGCTTCCTTTTGGGCTTTTGTGTCTCACTGGCACTTCTGTCTGTTCGGATTACACTAGGAGGGCATCTCGAAGTAGGGCATGGGGTTGTCATCTGCCTCAAGTAGTCACTGAGCCCACTAACCTCTTGTGGAGGATTTTCAAAAAGTTCCAGGAGTCTGCTGAGCTTATTGTTGGTCTCCACCTGCGTCTGCTGAATGAGGTCTAACTTTTCCAAGCAATGTTCCTTCACAGCGGGAGTGGACCACACGTCCATCTTAGACCTCGACAGGGAAACACTTGTCCTGGCATTTGCGGCTTTAATGTCTCTATCACTGCTTAGGACAACGACGGCATCAGTCTGAGTTGCACAGTTTGTACGATGGTTGGCGTCATTTTCGACCTGAAGCTGTATGACATCGGCTTGATCCACTGTGAGGTCACTGGTATAACACGGAGGCCTGTTTGGGGTGGCTATTTCATCTGTGGTATCTCCTCCACCTTGGAAAAGAACTTTAATTTTTCTTCCATCAGCCTAAGAAAAAAATGAAGTCAGATTTACTTTAAAGAACTTGATGGAAAATTTAAACAGGAAGCATTTGGACAATAGTTATACCATGAGTGAGTACAAGACACTCATCACTGCTTGAAAAAACACCTTTACAAAACTTTACTTGAGAAGTAAATTTCATTAAAGGTGCTCCAAAAAGCAAGGTCATCTTTGTATTAACTTTACAAAACGTAAAGGTGAAAAGGTAACCTTTTCTAACACGAAAAGATAATTAAATATAACCTTTCACCTTTAATGCCATATTAAAGTTTATTAAATATACATATTTTATAAAAGTCTTATTTAAATTCTGACTATTGTTTAATACACTTATACTTTGGATTTTCACAGTTAGTTTAAAGAATCTAATCTAGTCAGTACCCAGAATTTTAAGACAAATGTCAAAGATAATTTTAATTATCTTGTATCCATTTCCAGTTGAAATTAGTATTAGAAATGGTCATCTACAGAATCAAACACTCGACTCATCATTTTTTGACAGACTACACCTCAAATAATACAACAACTATGCTGTAAGCCAGGTTAGCTTAGTTGGAGCAGCTGGCGTTTTTTTTGATACATATTTAACATACATTACATTGAATGTGAAACAATAAAGCACTGGAATGCATTTGTAAAATATTTTACTTGTAATAAATTATACCCCTATCACAGACATTAAAAACCGCCCAGGCAAAAACCATAGATGGTTAACTATGGAAAACCTGTGTCCGTCGCTATGTAAATAATGTCTCAAGGGAGAATGCCGGACGTGCATTCAGTGCAATAGTTAAAAATGCACGAACACTCTATAATATTTGCATGTATGAAAAAATCCAAATTAAAATACATTTCAACAGTTTTGTTATTTCCATTACCAGTATATTTATACAAATATGATATATATTTTATATATAAAGCAAAAAAAAAATGTGTGTGTATTGAAGAGCACTGGCTTAGAATGATTTGAACACCTTACTGAATACTCATTTCTCAATGGCCTTCCTTTGGCCACGCCCACATATACAACCAAAACCATTAATATACGTTCCTCTCATACAATGTGTTCCCGCTCTACTACGAAACACGGGAAAAAAATATTATCTGCACCAGGATTGCCTACAACTCTCTGGATTGGATGGCATAGATTTTTTTTATGTACATTGATATTAATGATATATTAATTAATGATATAACAATGGGAAAAATTGGCATAGTGATAATTTTCATTTTCCAAACAAAAATGATCTAAAATATTCTGTATTTTGGCTTTGTATAATGTGAAAAAAATTACATAAAAGGCTATTTGATTTGCGCTTATATACAGGCTAATAACACCTTCAACTTGTAATGCAAAATGATGCATTTTACATATTCACAAACACAAAAAATGGTGAAAAATCTATTAGAATATATGTGAGGATGCAGTTTGCAAAATGCATGAGATTATGTATGAGTCCAGCTTCACCCAGTGAGCCTGTCTGTGCTTGACTTAGTTTAGATTATGTTTTTATGTCTGTGGTATATGTTAGTGTGTTTGCATATGTGTCCAGCTTCACACATTTTCATGCATGTGCTCGACTTCACACGCCTTGGAAAATATGTAATAGGTTGTGGCAGATGCATGTGTATTTGTGTATGTGTCCAGCTTCACACATTTTCATGTATGTGCTCGACTTCACACACCTTGGAAAATATGTAATAGGTTGTGGCAGATGCATGTGTATTTGTGTATGTGTCCAGCTTCACACATTTTCATGTATGTGCTCGACTTCACACACCTTGGAAAATATGTAATAGGTTATGGTAGATGCATGTTTGCATGTATCCAGATATATGCATTTTCATGTGTGTGCTCGATTTACATGTCATCAATGTAAAATATGTAAACATGGTGGTGTAAAACGTTTACAAGTGTATGATGCACACAGAGAAAAAAAAGTTCTGTGTGTTTTGTTCTGCAAGAGTGATCTTGTAAATAAACTACAATTGTGTCCTGTTGAGAAATTGACAATCATAATAAGTAACATATTCATTTTACATAACTGTACTGAAAATTACACATCCAGTTCAAATTACTGTTCTGAAAATTAAATTTATGCAAAAACTCTCTGGTTGAATAACATTCAAAATCATGAATGCTTGCATGTTCATCTATAAATCTCCAAGATATTTCCTAGTTATTTTGTAGCGCCGCACCGAGCAGTCTTACAACACATTTCATAATGTCAGTTTGCATGAATAAATTAATTTATCCTTGTTCCTCATATCTTGAAAATAGATGCCGAAATTCTAGTCTACAGTTTAATTACACAGCACATCACAAATAGAAACATTCAGGAAAAATAATTCACAAAAAATAAAATCCAAGTAAAACAATCACATGTACATATAAATCCAAGAAATATTACGTAATAGTCCAAGTAAGTGAGTAACTTTATCTATCTCTGACAGTTCTATCTATTAAGTCTTCTATATTTCCATCTTCCTATCTTATTCTAAAATTCTGTCGCGCTATATATATACTCAAGATCCGTTCCTGACGATCAGGAGCACATTACAAGATCCTTAAGATCAGGAGTCAATACACAGGTCATTACGATCAGCAGGGGGTTAGATAAGAGGAGGCGATTAATATACAGATAAGATTTATAGCATAAGTGTAGATTATAAAGTGTGAACAATTAAGTAATGAAGAGTGATTTACAGAAAAGATATTTTAAATCGTTACAAGTTTATATATTCTTGATCATATCATTGATAAGCGTATATATTCTTGATCATGACATCTGCATTGGATTCCCCTCTCTGACATCTTTTCTTGTTCACCAATTAGTTCAACAGTCATCTAGGTACTCAGGTGTTGTACAAGTCCAAATAATAAAATAATAATCATTTTCAAAATTATACAGAAAAACAATACAATTTTTAAAGAGGTTTTCATTACTTGTATTGAAATTAAAGCACAAGCTTTTGAAGACATACTTAAGTAAATTAAAACATGTATAACTAAACATAATGGAAATTTAAACAATGCGACTCAATGTCAAACATATGATAGTGATACATCTGTAATATCCATGAAACTTACTGAGATACTTAAAATGTTTGTGGCGTGCTTTCACTAAGCTAAGCAATATATAAACATTTCTTGATTACACGTTGAAGTCCAAGGCTTAAAAAAAATAAGTTTGTTTCCTGTAACATTCCCAAAAAATCAAGGGTCGGTAGGTCGGAATTTTTTTTTTTTTTGCTTATGAATGGTGAAACATCCCCAGACTGAAAATACCAGGTGTTATATTTACAGTGGACACCCAACATGGCATCCAAAATGGCTGCCTAGCGGCAGAAAACAAACTTCAAAAAGTTGTAGGGGGAAACTGTTGTTACAATAATGATTACTCTTTATATTTAAGGTAGATGTAAACTAGGTTGACATATTTTATGTCTCAAATTAAGCTACAAGCTATTGTTTTAATTTAACAAATGGAATCAGCTGATTTATCAAAAAAAGTTTTGCCATTTGTCAGCTGGGGAAAAAAAATCCACCGAGGGATAATTTGAATGGGTCGGTCGGGTTACAGGAAACAAACATATTTTTTTTAGGCCCAATCCTCACCTGACTTGCACATTCATATGGATTGGTTCTATGCTGATGATCCCTTTCAACAATCTTCATCACAACATCTGAAAGTCACCCATCTTCAAAATTAAATCTGTCGCTCACCTCAAATGTATATAGACTCCCTGTACAAATGCATGGAAAATAAAATTTTGAATAAAAAATGAATTATCTCTTCACCATACCCGGCCTCTTTAAAAAATGTGAGAAAATAATTTAAATACTTTTCTTTAGATAAAATCATGTAGTGAGTATCCAGCAATGGTGAAAAAAAGTTATCTCTAGAATTTTACATTTACATTGAATGAAAAATGCAGTGTTCCCTCTACTTAAAAAAACTCGAAAGATATTACCTATAATGGAAATAAGGTACACCTGTGACTGGTGACTCAGGCACAACCAATAAACACAAGACCTTTCCATCCTTAGCAGCATGCATTAGCTCCATATTCCTTGTTTCTACAAAAAATATACAATGAAAATTAAAAAAACTGAGAGTGGAGAGTGTTACATGTACTTGGGGGAACAGAGGAAGGAATTTTGAAGTCAAGATTAATTATATTTCTGCCAGTGTTGGGACGGATAAATTTTCATGATAAAATGAAACGAATTATTCGCAACAAATAAGACACATGTATTACCTTGCAGTCACCGTCGCACATAATGTATACATACAACTGACAACATCCCAAATCCCTTTCTTTGTTGTTTACTTGGCGGAATTTTCGTTTCCTTTTTAGACTGGTTCCCATACATTGTCGTGAATAAGTCCTACGTTTATTGGTTTTGTTTACAAGCTTCAATATCAATGAAATCTCCCGCACATTTACAGCCTGTATTGTTAACTACTAAAACATACTTTACAATGAATTTTCAGCTCAGTATTATGTTATCCTCTTCATTCAAGTAATATGTAAACTTTTCTCGAATATAAACGAACGATCTACTCTGATAAGTAACCCAAATATGGCACTGTGTATTCGGTTGAATAGCCAATCATTTCAAATCAAGTGGAGCGGGTCTGCATCGCTATTTTGACGAAGTTTGCAACCTGTGGTAATTTTTTGAAACCTCATCTAAATTTAAGGAGATTCTTGTCTTGACAACTGCTCGAACTCCTGGATTGGCATGCACTGCAGGTTTGTTTACGATTTCCAGCCATTTTCACTTTCAGCATAGATCAGTACATTGTGCATACATGTAGTGAAACAATGAAAGTCAGGCAAAATTTCACTGTATATGTTATTTACTGCCAGAATGTTAGATTAGTATTTTGATAATTTGGGGATTAAGTGTTTATGGGTTTCAGTTTATTCTGTAAAGGTGTATGTCTCTGGAATATTAAACAAGACAAAGAAAAACAATTCTGGAGTGGGACTAAAATGAGTAGTTAAAACCGAGCCGGGCCGGGAATTTGAAACTGAAACCGGGTTTTTGCTAATTACTGAGAATATACACAATCAGTTGTCATAAAACTTAGTTACAGATGTATTTATGCCTTGGCTGAGAGTTTAAACTCCGAAATTGACAAATAAGTTTATTTTATTTATAACATTTTGTATTTTAATTGTGTCCATTTTGTTAAAATACAGGTTGAGTGAAATCAGTATGCAGATTGTTGAAGGGAAAACATCAAGACGGGGCGAGGAAGACGACAAAACATGATTGAGGATCCCAAAGTTCTTTGGTACAAGCACATTTTTAAAAAATCAAATAATAAGTATCGTGAAATATTAGTTAAACAAACATTTACATTATTTAGTGCTTGACTTGCTCGGGAGTCATTAGTGTCTAATGTATTCATATAAAATGTTCAATTTCTATTGTATAGGCTCAAGCTACTCAGCCTACCATGAGAAAATTAAAAGATCTGCCATGAAGAAGAGGCGGGTTCTCAAGTTTCATATTATAGATGGCAAGTATTGTTTAGATTTAATTTTAAAGTTTTCTTGATAAAAAAAGGGTGTTTGACAGTTCATAGCTATATTAACTGTGATTGCTTTGTGTATGAATTTTCAAAATCAATTCATTCTTTGGTGACCATGTGCTTCAAACTCATAATTTTTAATAAAAATATTGACTATATATTTGTCCAGGTGTATAAAATGTTTAATCACTGTATGAATTCTATTTCAGCATGATTGTCATGTTCAATTTGAGGGACTCTCACCTAAAGTCCTTTTACTGTTCCATATCAGGAAAAAGTTCATGAGCAGAAACATGCTATTTGGGAAAAAGGTACATATATCCTAAACCATAACTTGAGTATGATTCTGTACACATGTACAGCTAAGCTAAATATGTAGCACTATTTTGTTCTTTTTGTAAACTGACTACTGAGTAGTCAGGAAAACCTATCATTTCTTTATGTTTCAGGGATTTATTCTTTGATTGTGATAAGTACCCTTGAAAAGTACATAATTCTCAAATTGTAATTTTAGGCATTAGGCTTTTTGTGATAAGGGATACATGACCTAACCCATTGATTCTTCATATAATATGTCAATAATAAGAGGTCCACTCATCTTATTAAATTAATACAATTTTTATTTTTAAGGTTAAAGGTCATGTATGAACTTTTTATTTATTAATTAGGTTGTGAATTGTTTTTCGTTTTTCGTTTTATTAATCATGGTATTGTGAATTCTGATAACAGATGCCTTTGAAAATATTCATACTTATGCATAGCATTTTAGGAAAAGCATTAGAAGAATGCCTGCATGGGAAGAAAAGTTTTGGACTCTGAAAAGGGAGATTTGACAAATACATTTTGACAGTTATTGATTTCCACTGTAACCAATATCCACAAGAAAGAGGAACGTAGTAGTTTTATGTTGATTCACAACTTTAAATTCAAGAATGTACAGTTGGTTTTATTATAAAACATGTCGCTTACGAAAAAACATTTTCGTGAAGTGTACTCTGTCTTCGATACTTATTTATGTGTATGTGACTTGCAGGATAGGATGTGGGCAACATATACTGTCAAGAATCTTGATGTTTTTGATCTTATGTTTGTAAAAAAAAATTGTAATAAACAAAGTTAAAGTCAACTTTTTGTTACTTTGTGTATATTAATTATGATGTCCAGATTTCCGCAGTATCGACTTGGAAGAAAAATCTTATTTATAAATTGCATAAGGCTTTATTCACTAGAATGGAAAACAGAAATTAACTTTTGTGGTAATTAAAGATGGTATTTATTTAAATTTTAAGATCTGTAATTATCAGATTTAATATATCCTAAATATGGTGTTTAATGGTTGTAAATATTAACTTTACTTTTTCGTAAAGTCAAGACAATGTGGGACATTACATCATATTTAAGTGCATGTAAAGTTAATGTAAAGGTTACCTTTTCCAACTTTGACTTTTTTCAGAAAAACCAATTAAAGGCATTGTAAATAATAAATTTACATTATCTTTACTTGTTTTGTAAAGCCAAATTTTCATGCAGTGATATGACATGGACCACAAAGCTCACTTGACAATTTTTAGCCCTAGATTATTGAATTATTTTTTAGAATTTAATATTTGTATGAAAAATTAAATTCTAACCTGATATTATTAATCTGATACTCTATTCGATTTTAAACAACGTGGGGATACTTTGATATTTAGGCCAAAATAAAATTATTGTTTGTTTGGAATTGCCTCCCGCCTCATTGTAATGCCCCCTCCTGAAAAAAAAATTATTGACCAAATTTAGGAAGATATTTTTTTATTTCATTTTTACATCAAATTTTTTGCCCGTTATTACATGCACCATACAAACACTGAAATGAAGTGTCAGATCTATGCAAAATTAGGTTTCTTTGTTGACGGTAGATACTTTTTTTTTAAGTCAGAAAAATGTTTTTACTGTTTTTATTTTTAAAAAATTTAAATTTCTCTACAATTAAAAAAAAAATAATTTCCCTCCCTCCCTCCTGTGTCTGAAACCCTTCAGGCGGTAATTTCAAACGAACAATTTTTTAAGGATGGCCTTATTGATCAACCTGGGAATGAAGAAGATTTAAAGAGACTCTTTTGATATCTTTTAATGTTGCGTGTTGAGTGTTGCTATCGAAAACTATTTTAAGGTACATTGATACTCTGATAAGAGAGATAATTCTTAATGACACAAATCTCTATTATTCCTTTATAAATTTGTCAAGTTGAAGTGCCTTTTTTGTCAAATTTTGCCCCACAAGCCAAGATAAAAGTATTTGTATTTTATTAAGTATATACTTTTCTTTTGGAAAATTATAAACGTTAAAGAAACATTTTATATGAGTAAGCAGAGGGTTTATGAACCTTAAGGCAAGGCAGGGTAATTATAAGATTTAACAAGAAGCCCAGTGGTCACATCGCTCAAGAATATTTGTATGTAATCCTTCTTAAAACTCTTATCAGATATAATGGCCCCATCCTTGTCACAAAGGTAATGATTTGAATAAAATTGAATACAGTACAAGATGATGCTTCATTATAACTATAACCAATCATGGCTTTGCTGGGTTTTTTTTATTTCCCTATGTTAAACTTTGATCCCCCATTGCAGCCCCACCCTACCCCAGGGGGCCATGATTTAATCAAACTTGAATCTATACTACCTGAGATTGCTTCTACACATGTTTCATCTTTTCTGTCACCATGGTTATTGATGAGAAAATTTTTAAAATATGACATTAATTATTCATTAATTTATAATTATCTCCCCTTGGAAGAGGGCAAGGCCCTTTAATTGAACCAACTTCAAACCCTTCACCTAAGGATACTTTGTGGCAAGTTTGGTTGAAATTTGTGATGACAACAACAAAGACAATGATGACAACAGACAAATTTAGATCTGAGCCTTCGGCTCATTTGCCTAGTTCTTATCAGCTGATTTGTTTTGCTTGTTTTTGCCTCCAAAAACATTTTCACTAAACATTTTAGTCTGTCTGCCCATTCACCCACTATTCTGTCTATCTGTAACATTTTTCTTTCACTGCAAGACTTTGAGACATTTGAACATTTGCAATGAAATTTTACAAAACTTTTACTTCTGGGCTAAAGAAGACCTAAAATATTTTTTTGGAGGTCAAAAGGTCAACAATCATAGTAATAAACTCAACCTCCAGAATACTTTGTAAAAGATAGGTATTTTAAACAGTATACTAGTTTCCATATTGCCTTGGCACGTTTTTTTTAAAATTTGCTTTTAAATTAGCATGTAATTCTGCAAATATGGCATCCTCCCCATTCTGCGAATGATCTTCAAATTTCTTTACTTAGTCCGGGGACACAAATTCTCTTTATAAGCTTGTTGAAAAGTTAAATCATTTTCATCCTGTCAACATAAGACTTAAATATAAAAATTTAATTGGCCATCGATGAAAAGGCAGTTTTAAATATGATATGGGCCAAAAATGAATAATGAATTTTTCCTTTCAGTGACCTTGAACTTGCACTGCTTGAAAAAACAGCTTTACAAAACTTTACTTCCAAAGTAAATTTTATTAAAGGTGAACCAATATGCAAGGTCATCTTTGTATTAACTTTACGGAAAGTAAAGGTTTAAAGGTTACCTTTACAAACACTAAAATTTATTTAAATATGACCTTTCAACTTTAATTTCATGAAGTTTCACCTTTAATGTATTTAAATATGATTTGATATCATTGTCTTTATTCAATCTTTTTTTTTAACACATTAAAGGTTACCTTTACGCACACGGAAATGTAATTAAATATGACCTTTAACCTTTTGTTATAAAAATGTCATTAAATATGATTATTTTTTTAAGTTATATACAGGAGCTTTGGCTTTAAATTCTGTTTGGGACCTTCGTATCAAACTTTGTGTAACTGTTGTTCATTGGGAGAAGGCAAACTTTTGTTTAAGTACTCTATTCTATGGATTCGATTTGTACCTCCTTTTAATAAACAATTTTTATGCACCTTAACATACTCATTCACTTTATGGTCCTCTAAACTTCCTACCAAACAAATTTAATTTCAAGTTTCCTTACTTTGAAATATATGTCAGTTTGAAAGGTACACATGGGATGGATCTCGCTCTGACCAACACTCGCAATGAACAATGTGTGCGTGTGGTCGCCTGTCGTGGTTTTACTTATATATATTATTAATGTATATTGATTAATTACTGACCAATATGTCTCATATGAACAAGGACACATTAATTTTTTCAGCACACAGATTTTTTAAATTATATTCATAACATTTGGTAGACAGACTGCATTTCAAACTTATCTTGCATTTGTATTACGTCAAATTAAAAATACAGTCATTCTAAATTCATGATTTATTTCAGTAAAAATAAAAGCAAAATGAACGATAAAAATCACAAACAGAAACATTAAAAAAAAAACAAGTAACAAATTCAAAGTCAAGAAATACATGAAAAGGTTTGTATTAATCTATAATTGTTTTTCTTAAAAAAAATGATAATAAACTTGACAGCCAAATATAATGAGCAATATTATCATTAATGTAGCAGCAAAATGATTCAAGTAAGAAAAATGAAACAAAACAGAAAATTATATGCATTAGCAATTGCAACATATTTTTTTGGTATTCTCATTTTTGTCGGGAATTTTCAACAACTTGAAAATGAATTCACAATGTCAAAAATCAGAAAACACATTTAAAAAAGAATATCAACCATTTATAACCACTAATATTTGTCCATTAGACAATATACACTTGTTTGAAAAATAAATAAAATACAGCAAAATGACTATAAAAGCGAGAAAAATGAAACAAAGCAGAAAATTATATGCATTAGCAATTGCAACAAATATTTTTTTTTGTATTCTCATTTTTGTCAGGAATATTCAACAATTTGAAAATGAATTCACAATGTCAAAAATCAGAAAAACACATTTAAAAAAGAATATCCACCATTTTTGACCACTAATATTTGTCAATTAGACAATAAACACTTGTTTGAAAAATAAATAAAATACAGCAAAATGACTAAAGTAAGAAAAATGAAACAAAGCAGAAAATTATATGCATTAGCAATTGCAACAAATATTTTTTTGTATTCTCATTTTTGTCAGGAATATTAAACAACTTGAAAATGAATTCACTATGTCAAAAATCAGAAAACACATTTAAAAAAGAATATCCACCATGTTTGACCACTAATATTTGTCAATTAAACAATAAACACTTGTTTGAAAAATAAATAAAATACATTTGAACATTTTGAAATTTAAGTGTCTAGCTTCAATTTAAAAAAAGTCATAACAAAATAAGAATTTAGTGATTTTGAAAATGAATGTGTATATACATGCGTGCTCTGTGTGTCACGCTTCACACATGAACATGTCTGTGCTGACTTCAAAAAGGGAAAAGTGTGTGTGTGTATATATACATGCGTGCTCTGTGTGTCACGCTTCACACATGAACATGTCTGTGCTGACTTCACAAAGCGAAAAGTGTGTGTGTGTGTAAGTGTGTATATACATGCGTGCTCTGTGTGTCACGCTTCACACATGAACATGTCTGTGCTGACTTCACAAAGCGAAAAATGTGTGTGTGTTGAAGTGTGTATATACATGCGTGCTCTGTGTGTCACGCTTCACACATGAACATGTCTGTGCTGACTTCACAAAGCGAAAAATGTGTGTGTGTTGAAGTGTGTATATACATGCGTGCTCTGTGTGTCACGCTTCACACATGAACATGTCTGTGCTGACTTCACAAAGCGAATAGTGTGTGTGTGTGTGTTGAAGTGTGTATATACATGCGTGCTCTGTGTGTCACGCTTCACACATGAACATGTCTGTGCTGACTTCACAAAGTGAATAATGTGCGTGTGTTGAAGTGTGTTTATACATGTGTGCTCTGTGTGTCATGCTTCACACATGAACATGTCTGTGCTGACTTCACAAAGTGTAAAGTGTGTGTGTGTCAGATGTGTATAATTATATACATGTGTGCTCTATGTGCCAGGGTTCAAAAAACATGTATTGTGTACAAATGAACATGTAGATGTCAAGACCAAAAAAAAAAAAAAAGTAAAAAGTGCCAAAATAATCAAGCAACAGAACAAATATTCTTCAACATTGTTTCACTCTAAAAAATATCTTATGCATGCATAAACAGTGACATAAAATCTAGTTTTATGTAGCTTGTTACATTTCAACATAAAAACCTTTCTCTAGGCATCACCACAATAACATTATGTCCACTTACTTCATCTTTTGCATATACAAATTTAGACTTAATTCTTTGTACAGGTATATACATTGATGGTCCTTCAACATCAAACAGATCACAACTCCATGCTCCAACTGGCTTTCCATAGTAATTTAGTATATGTTCGTTTGGCTTTGAAAACCAATTAACTCGAGCTATTAGATGCACACACGATTTTCCATCAACTATTATATTGTGCAGTAAAATGTTTTCAATCTGTCCTGGTCTAGGTGAGAGTCCAACATCTTCGTAATCACAGATTTCCCCATCATCTTTATGCCAATACGCATTTATCATTGAGGACCTATTACTTCGTCCCAGTTTGATGCCTAACACTGAACCAAAGAAATCTACATACTTTGTAGATCTGCAAGTACTACAGACAGTGATTCTACTTTCTACAGTATTTGGATATAAAACATTGTACATTCTTCTTAAAAAAAATACATCTCTTTCACTTAAAGTACAGTTTTTCAGTGTAGATATTTTTACACCATCAAATGAATCTATTTTCCAACACAATGATTCAACACGAACATCTTTAGATGACATTTTTACAAGCTCATAACTGGCACCTGTGTTCATCTGACTTAATGTTCCTCTTTCATTGTCTTCATGCAAGACCTTAAGTTTTTGAAAATCTGGTCCAAATTGTTCTTCTAGAATTTCATCCGAAAAAAGGTCAACAGCATGACTGTTTTTTAAAAACCTTCTCATGAGCTGAATTTCAATATTTCTTTTGTTAGTGGGTATTGACCCCAAAATCCCATTTTCCCTTTCAAAGCTAAATAGCCAAAATGAGTATACAGGTCCAAAGTCATATAAACATTTGTCGAGATGAGCATGCAAGTGCATATTTGGAGTGATACATTCACTTCCAAATGCCTGTTCTACTTTCTTACAAAAAGAAATTAACAAAAGATGCGCAACCTTTACATTATTTTTTGATAAAGTTCGTGTACAGAGTATTTTACATGCCAATACAAATTTTCTCCAGTATTCTAAATGCTCACCTGGCAAAACCCCTTTTAATGCATAGATAGAAAAAAGAACTGTCCAATTTTTAAACTGATCGGCATTAAAGAATCCGAAACTACTAGCCATTTTCTGGGGAAGTTTTCCAACATCTGATGGACAAAATATTTTTTCAATCCGTTTTTGTATTATTTCAAAATGCTCCGGTAGTAAAACCTTATGATCTTTCCATAATAACAGCATTCGTTTTGCAGTGCCCAAAAATAAATTGTGCATAGGGTCGATAATAGTCATTGTTACAGGATCAAAATACTCTAATTCTAGCAAAACAGAATATCTCACTCCATATTCTTCTCTAATTTTTCCCTACTAGATTTTGTCTTGCTTCTAACAATTTTTTTTACAATTTCTTTGTGATCTTCCAAATTTCTATGTTCCCAAAGAGATATATCAAATCCACCATAATTCTTTTCTCCCACCCCACCTTCGAATGCTTTCATACACTTGTTGCAACCTTTAGTTGCTGCATGCCCTAAAAACCCACACAATTTTCTACTTGCTGGAACATCACAGCCAACACAAATTAAAGCTAATTTGAATATTACAGGTTGTGATGGCGAGTTGAAACTCTTCATACAGAAACCGTTCCAAGCTTGTTTTAGTTCTTCAACTAAGGGCTCAATAAATGTATTAGTGGGAGGCTCTGATTTCATATCAGGAATAAGACCAACTAAAATGACATTTTTCTTTTTGAATCGCTCACTTCTTGGCAGATTTAAAATGGTCAAATAAATAGCACCCACAGAATAGTTTGTATACTTAAATGGCTGGAACCAATCTACATTAAGCATAATGCCATAATTACGTCTTGATGTGAAAAAATTAAATTTCCCTCCATTAAAACATTTCCAAACATTGCCATCGTAAACATCCATTAAAATTTCATCTGGTACATTTCTATTGCGCCAAGTTTCACAAAGATCTTCAAAACCTTCTCTGTTTACTAAAATTTGCAAACTTTCTTCAATGCTCTTATAACAAAAATTTTTTCTTGGTACAAGTTTTTTCACACCGTTAATGTTAACTGACTTTAAAAGAAATTCTCCACAAGGTTTTCGAAAGTGCCTCAGAGCATGATTTGGAAACAAAATATTTGTACATTTCTTGGACATTTCATCACCTTCAATAATGTCAACACACTCAGAAAAATTATAAATAGCAAAACATTTTGGACAAACTGCATATTTTCGAAACATATCATTTCTAAAGGAAATACTCTTATTCAACTGATATAAATTTGATGGAAACTTCTTGTACAATTCTTGAGTAAATTCAGAAGTAGCTGACACCAAATACAAAATTGATTTGACAAGAAGAAGTAAATAAGAAAGTGCAAGATCAGACACATAAAACAAGGACTGCCAGCGCAATAATACTTTCAAAACAGAAATAATCAAAAAATTGATATTATCTAATTCTTGACTTGATTCTTCTTCCTCCTCCAAAAAGGCGTTGATATCTATGTCACACAATTCCTCTTCATCATCAGAAGACTCAGAAAAACAGATATCATTCATTTGAACTTCTTCTTCTATTGGAAAATTGTCCTCGTCTTCGTCGTCAATGCTTGGCAAGGTTAGATTTTGAGGTATCTCTGGATCTGACACAGAATTTACCAAGGGGTCTGATTGAACCATTCCAACATCATCACTGGAAGACTGTGTTTGATTTGATGGACAAGTGTGTCTCAAAAGATGTCTTCCAGAATACTCTTCACCACAACCTGAACATGTTTTTGGTTCCCTCCGTTTTCTTTTGCGCTCCATTTTCATAAAGTTAAAACTTGTATGGTTCCTTCAGGAAAATATGTCTTTTCACTACAACCAAAAATTAAATATGTGTAGCATTATCCAATATGAGTAAACATAACTTGGAAAACACTTCAAAAAACAACCGAATTATCTTCCTCATATTGGTGCATCTAAGACATGAACAAGTCAAAATATTAAAGGACATACAGAGATTTATTTGCAAAGTTATCAAAAGTATAATTATACTGAGGCAAATAATAAAGACTCTGGACCCCCTGGAATACATGTGCCCCACCACTGCTATGGAGTGACTAGAAAGTTTTGTTTTATTATTTTGCTTTTGGGAAATATGACATTATACATTGTGAAATTAATTCTTATAACCTTATACCAAAGTGATATTGAAAAGGAAAGGTTTTAATTTGACAAACATTATGAATTACAATAAATCTTAGCTCTTATAGTTTTTAAGTCATAGGTTGTAAAAGGCTTATATATTACAGACAGACAGATGGACATATATGATCGCCACACATTAATGAATCCCATCATAGATGGGCTTCTAAAAAGATAGCAAGTTTACAAAGATACATATAGAATCTTGCTATTCATATTCATTACCTCCCTTTGTGCTCAAGCTTCAGTTTATTGCCTAATTAATTGCCCTTTTACTTTGTTAAATTTTTTAAAAATCTGTCGGAATTTATTTTAAGGTATTCAATGTAAATTGGTGGGATTTGGAATGTTTTTAAATAATTTTAAACCAGTTAAAACGCATTGCTATATAACGATAAAAGTAACATGAACCAAATTTACAAGACTGATAACATATAAGGAGACCATTATTTTGCACATTAAAAGTTTTGGAAGTTATCTTCCCTTGATTAAAAGAAGAAAAATTTTAATTTCTCAAACATTTTGCGGAAATAATTCATTTTATTTCATATTAAAGATAGAGTTTATGCATATTTTCACCAAAAGATTTATTTGAATTTCAAATTACTTTTTGCAATATCTTAATATAAAAACATGCACTGCCCAAAGACTTCAATGTAAAATTCAAGGTGAAATTACATTGGACAATAATAAAAATCTTGTAAATTCCTTTGATGGAGCATTTTTATTTGATAACATCTTCAAAACAAAATGCCACCATGATTAAAAATATAGGACAATTCATTTATTATGTACAGAATATGGCCGTTATACATTGAATACCTTAACCTAGCTGTCATTTGTAATGCTTTAATCATTTTTTTTTTAAATGGAAAACAGGAATTCTGAGCTCCAACTTGCTTAATAAATTACACTATAAATTCTACATACCTTGTATATTAATAAAAGTGAAATATAAACTCTTACCAATTCCATCAACAGTATTTACAACATGACCACTGCTGTATTTCTTGACGTCAGCCTTTGCTTTCACATAGCTTAGGAAGTCCTTATAAAGCCTGTCATCTTTCAAATCCTCTTGTTCTGCAATAGAAATACACATTTAAATAAAATAAATCAAATTTTCTGCCAATGGTACAAAATAAGACCTTACAGTAAGGTTTTATCTTATATTACAGGTTCCTGCATTTATTTTCATCTATATATAATAATTGCAAAAAAAGTAAATGCCTCTTAAAAATAAAATTTTTACCAGTTTTTTTACTGCAATGATGAGGGTGGGTGGGATGGGGTTAATTATGATATTCTCACTGTAAAATCTAACCTTAAATAAATCTTAAATAAATTCAGAGTAAAATAGACAAGTAAACTATCTATAATTTTCCTTTGTAAAAAGTATATCTATTTATGCAATTGCATGCATTTTTTTCTTCATATTTGACTTATACAACATACACTGTATCAAAGATTCTTAAATCTAATATGCACTTTCAATGCATATTTATTTTTCCTGAAACAATTCATTATGGTTACTCAAGTTCAATGATCATTTGAAAATAATTTCCCAACCGAATCTACGTATGAGCTATCTAAATATTTTCCCAACCAAATCTATGTTTGAGCTATCTAAAGATCTCTAATCCTTGACAGAGGAAATTCGAATTAGAATAAAAACGATCATGGCAGGGTTGTAATACATAAAAATTAATCAGGTATTACTGCAAAATTGGTCAAATAAAGGATATTTGTGGGGAAACTGACTATATATTTATTTGGCCTTATAATTGCAAAAAAAGACCTAAATTTTACCGGTAAAAACCGATGGTCCGGTGACTTTCGCATAGACTGTAAATGTTGCCATATTTTTCAAGACGCAAGACAATAATAAATAGAAGTGAATGTCAGCATAAAATCATACAATTTTAAATTAGTGAACAGTGAGTATTGGACTTGTTATGTAAAAACTGGATAAAATACATAATTCTGATGCTTAAAGTTCCAAAGTAATTGCTTCTTTATAAATATAATTGAATTGTGAATATCAATATGTTTAATTCTACATTAGAAGTACAACAAAGAAAATTTCTGAATGCAGATACCTGAGCTGAGTTATTGCCCTTGGCATCATTTTTTCATAGATTGGATATTTGATTTGAAGAAAAGAAAATATATATTTTTATAATTCTTATACTTAACAATTATATGTACTACACCTCTTGAAAAGCATTCATCCAAAAGAAATTTTCTAATAGGTATAAATGTATTTATTTAGATTTTTTTGCAAAAACCTGTGACATCACAGGAGGATGGAAATACATTGAGCTCGAGAAAGTTAAAATTTTTCAAACAATCAGATTAAAAACTGTAAACCATGTTCAAATTAAGTTTACCCATTGAAATATAATTGTAATTTAGTTTTTCAAACCATCAGATTAAAAACTGTAAGACCTGTTTTGAATATAATTATTGATTTTCCAAAAAAGGTTGTTTCAATGCATTATGTATAGCACTATCATTTGAAAAGAATTTTGTGGCAGAAATATGTACGTGTACATCCAAATAATATACAATTCTGTAATTTGATGACAAGTACTGATCCAGCATTCTTACAAAAATTGTGTATATATTTATCACCAAAATTTTTGACTCTCTGTCCTCCTGTAATTTCTTCTCGTCAATAATTATTGTAAATATGTATATATGTACCTCTTGAACCATACTGTTTAGGGCTGTATCAATATACTGATATATTGATACGTATCGATATTCAAGAATAATATCGTATCGAAAAATAACTTCCAATACGTATCAGACAGACAGTTTTTCTTCTAATTCTGTTATAAGATTGGAATTTCAATCACCAAAGAGTATATTTTACTATTTTTAATTAAAACTGTTCAATAATTATATAATTTGTAGGAAATAACACAGTTTTTATAATTATTACAAAATACAAAGAGAAATTTATTTGAACATGTTGATTTTACTGTCATTGAAAGTTTTAATTTGAAGTGTTACATGTATTTGTAAAGACAATGAGACAAAAACTTTAAAATGGGTAATTAAAAACCTAAATGTTCTGAAATGTATGCATTAAAATGATTAAGAAGCCTTTTCTGATGGAATTGTTTTAGAATTACATATAAATAAAACCATAGCATTGAATCATAAATGTTAGTTTACTTTATTATATTTATACCATACCACTGTTCACTGAAGCTTCCTCAGTTTCTCCACTTGAGGAACATTCTTCATAAGTCAATGGTGTCTTTTGCTGATTTGCTTGTAGCCGTAGGATTTCCTTTTTCCTCAGTCGCCTCCTTTTGGACTTTGCTTTTATAGCTTCTTTGCTTTTTCGTCCTTTTTCCTTTTCCATAGATCTGGAAGAAATGAATATTGATAATTACCAAAAAATATCAGTTTCAATAGTTATCTGCGAGGGGATATAATTATATTCATTTATTATGATGTAATAATAAATATAAAGAAAATATAATTTATTTTTCATTTTCTTTGCATGTTACAAAATACAAAATTCATAACTTACAAAATGGTATTCTGCATGTGTAAAAAATGCATTGTATGAAAAAATTTCTCAAATAAGGCAATAACATAGTTCCTGTTGAAAGGGGGTTGGGAAATTATTTTTTTAATTTATTTCTTCAAATTAAAGTTAAATTGATAATAAATCTCCTTTTCATTCTTAAAGAAATAAAGAATAATGCAGTTAGGCCAGCATTTTTTTATTTTAAGGTTTACGAACATCAGAATGAAAAAGTCCCGTAGGAGGAGGAAATAAAAAAAAAAATAAAATTATTTTTTTTGGATAAGTTATCGACTTTTGTACATAAATTTTTCTTCTTTTTTCATGCTCTCCTAACATGCTCCATGCCACTGCATGGACGCATAAGGATTACAAAGGGGAAAATAGAACCTTTGTTTATTGCATCATCTACCAGTTGGGGCCAGTGATATACATGTATATATTTTGTTATGTTGGACAAAATACAGATATTAAAAAAAAATCATTTTTTTCAAAACTCTTTCAATATATCTTCATTTTTGTTTTTAATATGTTTTGGTAAATGTGTAGAAATTGTTCTAAAATATACTTGAGACTTAAAATATTTAATTAAGTGTAAAATAATTTTTCTTGCTGCCACAAATGATACTATTTGTATATAATACTTGTTTTTAACAATTGAAGTATTTTATTTCTTTAGGCTATTGTTTATTTCTTCCTCAAATGGACTTAACTTCTCCCATAGTTTTAGAATGATGTTTATAAGAATGTAAGCTATAACAGAAACTTAAACAATATCTCTGACAAAAGCTTACAATGGTAGCCTACCATGGACAGTTTTAACAGGTCCAGTACAATCTCTTGATTTAGCTATATAGCTTTAAATAGCTATATAGCTTTATTAAGCTATGTAAAATAGCTTTATTTAACTATTTATATACAGTTTTTCACGAACTCTTTATTGCTGAAAATAAACAAAAAGTCGCATGTATTTGACTCTTCATATTTGTAATATGGGCTATTAAAACAACAACCAAAATCTAAAAAGTTCTAACTTGGCAGCTTTTGAATACTTTTAAGCAAAAAGAGAATTTCTATTGTTAGACTAACTGTCCACTACCTTGGCTCAGTGAGGCAAGGATAAGTATGATTGCTTCTCATTGTGCTGAACTGTTACCATTCAATTATCTTGTTGAACATAATTGGTCTCCATTATAATATCATTGCAGAAGTAACTGTATCATTTGCTTTATATAGCCCCAAAACTTGTAAAACTCTGAGTACAAAGTCTCTCAAGGAGACGTAATTTGATGAGTGATTTTTACATACATTATTTTAAGAAGAGTTCAAAGTTGTATTTTATCACTGCACCAAGGTGCGCTTTTTTGTACATATTGAGAAAATTACACCTTTAAGAAAAAAGTGTAGTAAAATAGCTAAATTAAGCTATACTGAATAGCTTAATAAAGTTATATAGCTATTTAAAGCTATATAGCTAAATCAAGAGATTGTACTGGACCTGTTTAAACCTGTGGGAGGAAAATAATTTACAGATACTTTTGAATACGGATACATAATTATCTCACCAGCATGTCATCGTGCAATAAAGTCGTCAGCATTTTATTTGTCCTCTGAACTTGTGAAACGTTTTGAATGGCACTCCTATCGATGAATATTAACATTAAACAAAGCTTTAGTGCTGCTATGGACTTCGCAAATCTACTTTCATTACCCGCCATGTTCATCTAAGACCGGAAGTACGAGTTCGTAAATTTGAAATCTCGATCCCGACTCAAATTTGACATTGGAAAGGAAAAAAATCAGTTTTTCTCAATTTTATTTTTTTTCTGAAAATTCAAAACATTGAGCGACGGGTTTGTAAACCTAAAAATAAAAAAAAATGCTGGCCTTATGCTTAATATCTGACACAAGTTACAACTTCAATATGCTTACCTTATAGGGGTACGTCCACAATCAGTGTCTTTTTCAATGGTAAGGAAACTTAGGTATCCAATTCTTGTAGATCTGTCTGACTTAGCCAGTTAATGATATATGCTACATATACCAGTTATCATAGGAAACAGCACTGCATTGCATGTATAAAGGTATTTCTGCAAAATAAACATGATTTCTTAATTTCATCACTAAATGTTTTGCAAATATATATATATATTAAAACATTTTCAAAAATATGTGTTTTAGTAAAGTGACACCTGATCTATTTGAATTGAAAAACTATGATCTACAAAATGCTTTAACATGTACATAATCAGAAGCTACATGTACAAGAGTTTTACTGAAAAGGAATTTTAATTTATAGACAGAACCATGAAAACCAATAAAATACTCAAAAGTCTGAAGGTTAGATATCTAAGGCATTGGCCAATAAAACAATTACATGAATTCTTTTTATGTAAAGTTTAGATGTAAACTAATTTTTTTAACAGGGGTTATTAAATAACCTAGGATGTGTACAATTTCAAGCAAACTATATTTAGTGGATATTAATTTGATTCAAAAAGAAAGGGGCTGGCTGGTATGACCTTGGCATGCACTCTCATCCATTTTAAGTAAATCTTTTTTCTGTGATGGAGAAAATAATTATGAATATATAAACTGTTTCTGATTATCAATATACATTGTAACGTTAGTCTTTTGTTGGCATAAAAATAAATAATCCAACTCCCCTTCCAACAACCCCAAAACATATAAATATAAAATAGTCATTTCCTAATTTTGATAAGGATTAAATCTTTAAAAATAAATGAAAGGAAATTTTCAATTGGTAAATTTATAACGATATACCGGTAAGGATGGTATAATATATGCGCCATTTTTCTTTTTCTTTCTTCCACTAAATTGGTGTTCATGTATATGCTGCATTATAGTATATACATGTACATGTGTATAATTCTGGTGCATTTTAATGATCAAAGTTCTGCATGCATTTCAGATAATGATTAATTTTGCAAATCTGGGAAAATAATTATAGTCTGCTATCTTATTTCTGTTAACAATCAAATGTTTTAATCTTTTGTTCCCTTTATTATGCTCCCCAAACGAAGTTGGGGAACATATTGTTTTTACTCTGTTTCTTATTATTATTATTCTTATTATTATTATTATGTTCCCCAAACGAAGTTGGGGAACATATTGTTTTATGTTCCCCAAACGAAGTTGGGGAACATATTGTTTTTACTCTGTTTCTTATTAAGGTCTTCCGTCTCCAACGGAAGACCTTATTGTTTTCGTTCGGTTTCTTTTTCCCTATTATTATTATTATTATTTTTCTTACCGATTTTGTGCACGCGATTTCTCAGAAACGGCTGGACCGATTCTCACCAAATTTTCAGATCTGATAGATATTTATCTGAACCTTGTCGGAAATTTTTCGTAAGTTCGTCGTCACTTCCGGTCGTGAGATATGGACGATTTTCTGATTTTTAGAGGGTCAGCTTGTCCTGAGATCTCCTCCTAAACGACTTAAGATATCGACTTGAGATTTTCAGTGAAGGTGGAGGAAGGATAGTAGATGTGACATTTTGCATATAGAGCTTTCCAGGTAAAAAGGCATCGACGCCCGCCTGGGATCGAAAAATAGCCTCATAATCATCTCGCAAAAATTGACACGTTTTCTTTTATATCTTCTTACCTGTTAATATTTTGTTAAGACATATATAATAAAAAATGTGCAGTATAGTAAGACCTTTCATTTGATATCAAGTAAACGGGGTTAGTCCTTCAAATTAGGGGCATAGAGGGGCCAAAAGTCTCTCGTCTTTAACTTTTTTGTTTTTCAATCTTTTCAAATTATATTAGTATAGTTGATAGAAACATTTCTTATTAGGCTGAATATATAATTCGTTTGTAAATTTATAAATTCAAACTCGAGATATTAACTTTCAAAAATCTGAAGCGGGAACGAAATGGCGGCGGTCTTTGTAAATTCCGACATTTCGCAATAGCAGTTAACAGAGGCAGCCGAGCGTTTGCTTGAACGAAAGTAACATAAGGAGCAATAAAATGTGTAGGGATACTTGGATTGTCACGTCGTAGGTTCGTTGCAATTCTGTGTCAAACTACATTCATAATCCAAGGTCTCCTTACAAGTCTTCTTTAATTGGTTTTGGTTGTTTCTCAAAGTAGAAAAAAGAAAAGAATTAATGTGCAAATTAAGTACGCATTGATGATATTATCTAAATCAAAAGGATTTAATCAAAAGAGAAAAGGCATGATTCCATGATGTTTTATCAAAGATCATAGTCAAAGTCATATCTCATCTTATCGAAAATTCGGACGGAAGACCTACTCGTTGCTCGCAACGAGATCGCATCTAGTTATTATTATTTTTCTTCTTCCTGGGCACTTTTTTGTCCACGAATGATCTCGTAAACTACACATCCAACTAAGGTGAAATGTTTTTAGGGTCAGTAGACATGTTATGTAGATTTGCGGAACGAAGGTCATTTTGCGCGCACGTGCTTGCAAGAGCGCGCACGTGCAACATGTGAAATGACCAATATAATGTATATTGCCGTAACTTTTCTATTTTTTGATGAAACGTTATGAAACTCATAATGTAAGGATATATTAGTAGTGTAAACAAGATGATGTGGTCAATATGGCAAGAACTCACGCGCATGCACGTGCGCTACGCTCTGATTGGCTAAAACTAAAGTCTCAATATCTTTCTTGTTTTTTGACGAAATCCTTTGAAATTTTGATCATTGCCATGCATTAGGATATCCTACAAAATGATATATAGCAATTATCATGAAAACACGTGCATGCACGTGCGCTGCAATCTGATTGGCTGACATTTTAAATAGCTATAACTCCCTTGGTTTTCAACC